AACTACTTCCTCACCACCGTCATCACCCATCATCACCATCGCCACCATCATCACCATCACCACCACTAGTAACACCATCGCCACTACTAGTACCATCATGAGCATCATCACCACCGCCACCGCCATCATCACCACCACCACCGCCAGCATCATCATCAACATCCGTACCACCATCAGCATGATCATCACCATCAGCATCAGCTTTACCACTGGTGAGCTAGCCTTGCCGACTACAAAGGCAGCCCCTGGCGTGGATAAAACAACGCTCGATGTATGCTCCTGTGTGCCACAACCTCGATGGTAATCCCAGCTTTCGGGTGAACCCAGTGAGAGCCTGGAGCACGCTGCAGACCACTAGTGTCCGACCCAGAGGACCTACACAGGTCCACCCAGGAGGCACTCCGCGCAGTAGAGTAAAGCTCCAGGTCGGGGGCCGAAGGGCCAGCCCATGAGAAACACCCACACGCACAGGGCGAACCCAAAACCACCAGGCACATCGACACAGCAGCAGGGAGGCCCCACCAGTGGCAGCCACCAGCCCCGCTGCGGCCCAAAGGCCCGAGGCCAAAACGAGACCGCCCCAACCCGAGCAGCGGGCGCGAAACACGCAGGCCCCCAGGGCCGTCACGGGCAGCGTTGGGATGTATGGTCTGCCGCACGGGCAGCAAACCACATGCGTCTGCGGCGCCGCTCCCTCTGCGCATGCTTGCGTTCAGACGGCGGGGGGGTGGGCCCAGGGCAATCCTGCCTCAGGCCGCGAACACCTCGCGTGACGTAAGGCCCGCACCGCCTGCACAAAATAGCCTGCCTGGAGGTCACCTCGGACCCCTCGCTGCTATCGGGCCCGAAGGAGTCGTCAGCGCCGCCGTTGCCGTCGTCCCCATGCAGCGTCTCCTTGTTCGCGTGTTCGCCGTCGCCGCGCTGTTCGGGGTCGCGCTGCTCCTGCATATCGCTGGATGAGGAACGTGACCGGCTGCGTCCCCGCTGATCCAGCGGTTCTGGCACGCGCGGTTGGCTCGGCAGCGGCACCGCGCGTGGCTGCCCATCAAGCGTGGGCCTCCAGACCACGACCGTGCGGGTCGATGTCGTCGCCTTCCAACGCGCGGCTTCTCGCCTAACGCCCCTCACGTCGTCCTCTGCACGTTGCCAAGCGTTCGCGCAGACCCCTGCCGCTGTCTGCTGCCTCGCACGGCTCGCGGCACGGACGTCCAGCTCGCGAACCGGCGCGTGGAGCTGCTCGGCGTGTAGCGCTGCAGTCTGCAAACTTTCCTATGCTGCGGTCAGTCTCGCTGCACCGGCTGGCCATCTCTCATAGCCTGTCCCGAAGCGGCTGCAACTGCTGGCGCGCCTAAGACCATGCCGGGTCCGAACCGTGCTCCACGGCGCGCGCCTGCAGGATGCTACGGCTGCTGCGGCGTGCCTCCTCGTCGCAGTCGCTGCAAGCGGTGGGCCCCAGCTCCTCGGCGGCAGGCCTGGGCGCATCCGCGCGGGCGAGGTTTCTTCCTGCAACGCCGAACCACGACCCCAAGATACCATCGGAGGACCGCGGGCGGTCTGACCCCCCTTCCCCCGACGTCGCAGCACCCTTCGCAATGCCAAATGCCTCTCCGCCAGGTCTTTGGCAAACGTGCTCCGCCGAAGGCGCCTCGGTCACCCTGGGAGAGCCAGCCGCGCACGATCGACGTCTGCCCCGGGGGGGGGGGAGCGTTCCGACCACACCGCGGCCCTTTGCCCCTGCCGCCACATCGCAGGGGAAATCCCCAGATGCCGAGATCGCTAGTTCGCTCCTATCCGCGTCTGTCTTCGGGCCCGCACCTCTGGCCGCGCCCGTTGTCCTGCGCGGTGGCAACGCGGAGGGGGGGGGGGCACCTTGCCGCTGTCGGTTGCTGCTGGCGGCTTAGCGAGTTGAGCTAGGCCAGGAACCTCTGTCGACTGGGCCCGCCGCGGCCCCAAGCGCGGGCGCATGTGCCTCCGCCGCGCCGCCAGCGGCTCCGTCGCGAGGCCCGTAGACGCCCTGACCCAGTCGAAACGCGCGTGCTGCAGCATCTCCGTCACGTGGAGCTCGCACCAGTGGCCCCGCTCGTCCTCGGCGTCTGACCCCTCCCCAAGCCCGACGTCCTGGACCCGTCCCTTCGCCCATCTGGCCGCCTCCTCCTCCACGCGCGGGGCATGGCTTCTGTCGGCGCGCTTGACGCCCGGGCACGACGCTCACCCTTGGTCATCAGCTTGGGCGGAAGCAACTTGCCCTGGTCGGCGCGCCCTCGCGAGGCGCAGCTGCGTTCCTGGCCGCGCCTCGGGCTGCAGCGGTGGGCGGGCGCGCTGGCCCGTCCCAGCGAGGGCGCAAGCCGCCGGGCCTCCTCGCACACACTTCGCCGCGGCAGTGGCCGCGGAGGTAACCTCATCTTCGCCTGCCCCCCCATCGGGCGCGAAGGCGACGCCGCGCGTTGCGCCGATGGGACATGTCCCATTCCAACCACCTCGGCGACATCGGGCCTGCCCTCAAGCTGGATCTCGCTCTGGTCGTCGCCGCCGTCGCGGCTGCACCTTGCGCTGCCAGCAACAGGCAATGCATCTTGCTGTAAAATCGGCGGGGGGCTACGCGGGCGTCTGCCGGGCCGCGCCGTTGAGCACCCCAGTCATCGCGAGCCCAATTGAAGCAATCGCGCGGAGGCGTCCCAGACCGGAGGGCTTGCATGGTGGCGCGTCAAGTATGCGCCTGCCGTGACTGGTGAAGGCTACCTGGCCGCGTGTGACGCACTGGGCGCCGGCCTGCTCTGTGCCCCTCTTGCTGCGCTTGGAGGCGTCGACGTACTCGTGCTTCCTCGGCCTGAACATGGGTGGGGCCGCTCCGCGCCGCGGTGCGCTCGGCTCGACGGGCTTTGGGCCCCGCGCGCTTCTCGCGGCCACCCTGCCGGCCGCCCAAGCGCCGAAGCGCGCCATCGCCAACGCCGACGCGAAATTCGTCTCGACGCTCTACCCGAGGATGGCGCTCGGCCGCGTCTCCGGCATGGCCTGCGCGGTGAACGCGTCAGGCCACGGGTTGTCGAGCCAGTGCTCGCCACTCCTCTGGAGTCTTGCGCGACGGCGCCCGGGCAAACAGAGTGTGCCTCAGCTGCTCGCCAGGCCCAAAGGCCGCGACGTTGCGCGTCTTCCTTCACGCGTCAGCGCGATCACTGTTTGTGTGTACGTGTGTACGTGAATGCGTGAATGCGTGTGCGCGTGCGCGTGCGTGTGCGTTTGCGTGTGCGTGTGCGTGTGCGTGTGCGTGTGCGCGTGCGTTTGCGTGTGCGTGTGCGCGTGCGCGCTCGCGCGTGCGCGTGTGCGTGTGCGTGTGCATGCGCGTGTGCGTGCGCGTGTGTGTTCGTGTGCGTGAGTGATTGCGTGTGTGTGTGTATATGTTTAAATGCGTAAGTGTGTGTGAGTGCGTGAATGTGCAGGGTGCGTAAGTGTGTAGGCGTGAAACTGATCAAATGGTTTAGTGTGTGGGTTGTGAGTATATTTCGGTTGAAATGTGAAACAGTGAAAATGGATCAGTGTTTAAGTGTGGAAGTGGTGTAAGAGCGTAAGTTTGTAAATATAGTCGTGCAAGTGTGTCAGCGTGTAAATGCGTCGGTGTGTAAATGCGTAAGTGTGTAAGTGTGGGTGAATGTGTAAATTTGTGACTGCATACATAAAGAATATGTAAGCGTGTACGTGAGTAAATGTGTATATGTGTGTATGGGGAGTGGAGCGGGTGTGTCTGTGTGCGCGTGTGCGTAAGAGCGCGTGTGGGTGTGTGTGTGGGTTGGTGTGGATGGATGAATGTGTGTGCGGGTGCGTAGGTGTGTGTGTGTGTGATGTATAATGTCTAGTGTGCGAGTTGTGTGGCGTGTGTCTCTGGGTGTGATGTATGTTTGTATGACATGTGTATGTGTAGGTGTGTGTATGCGCTGATGTATGTGCATGTATATATATATATATGTGTGTGCAGGTGTGCAGACGCGTGTAGGTGTGTGTGTGTAGGTGTGTGTGTGTGTGTGTGTCTGTGCGTGTGTGTATGTGTAGGTGTGTATGAGTGTATGTGTATGCGTGTTTGCGTGCTGATGTGTGTATGTGTATGGGTGCATGGGTATTTGGGTGTATGCTGGTCTGGGTGCATGGGTATATCGATGTGTGTATGTGAACATGTATGTATGCGTATGCGTGTATGTGTGTATGCGTTTGTGTGTGAGTGCGTATGTGTATATGTATGCATGTATGCATGTGCGTATCGGTGTGCATTCCTGCATGTTTGGATGTGCGTATCTGTGTATGTGTATGTGTGTATGGTTGTACGCGTGTGTGCATGTGTGTGCTTGTACATATGTGCATGTGTACATGGGTGCAGGGGTGCATGTGAACAGGTGTGCGTGTGCATGCGTGCATGTGTGCATGTGTGCATGTGGTGTGAAGGTGTGCATATGTGTGTGTGTGGGGAGGGGGGAAGTGTGCCTGTGTGTGTGTCTGTGTTTGTTGGGGGGGGCTCCCTCTTGACCCATCGCTCTTGCCCGATCCGGAGGGCTCCCCCAGGGCTCCCAGAGGAAGCCCAAGACATCCCCAAGAGTCTTCCGAGATGACCCGAACTAAAATCAACACGGCTGGTGAAGATGAGCGGCTTCCCAAGTTGACCCTTGCATCGTTCCCCTTTGGCCCATCCTTTCAACTTTCGCTGACCGCGCCCCGCGCGAAAATTGTCGGCATGGCCTTCCAAGGCCCTGGCATCCTTGTCGTGCATCCTGATTATACGCATCGACTGTAACCCCCAAGAAATCAGAAGAGGCCCCCAGTATGGTCCCCAGACAGCACCAGCGACCCAAAGGGAAGGCATCGGAGGGCCGAATGCACCCAAAAGTGCTCCAGAAACAAATCATTGAAAACCACCTTCATTGTTCCAAGTGCGTACTGGTTCGGCAACTGATGGGGGGAATATACAACCCAGTAGCATGGCAACAAAGATGCCTGACGTTTGGCCATACGCGGGCGTTTTCCAAACAAGGAAGGGGTTGGCGGCAGCGATTTGCCAGAGGCGTATCCGACTTTTGGCCGCCATCATTTTGTTGTACGCGTCCTCGGGCAATGACTTGCCCGTCTCGTAGTGCTTGGCGAAAGAATACAATGTATTCCGGTCGTCCGTCACCCAATACTCCATAAACTGTGACGCGATCTCGACAGCGTCCCACTCGATACCGTTTATGCCAGAGACGGCGCTGTCGTCCTGCTTTGTGAGCACGTGCTGCAGCGCGTGTCCGAACTCGTGGAAGAGGGTCTCGACCTCTCCGAGCGCTAGCAGGGAGGGCTTACCATCCTTCGGCGGCCAGCCCGGGGGGGGAAGTGAGAGGAGGCGGGCCTTCTCAGAAGGCTCGGAAATCATCGGGCCCTCTGAGAAGTTTTCTGAACCTTCCCCGAAGACGCAGAACACTTCTCAACAGCCCAGAAGGCTTCTGAGAAGCCCCGCCGCCTTCTGCGGTAAACCATGGGGGGGAAGCAAGTTAGGAGGACGAGAAATATTAGAGATAGATGGGTATTTTCAGGACATGTATCACACAAGCGCCAAGATGCATTATCACAAATGCAAGGACGCGAACCCAAGTTAGGCTACGTCTTCATTGTGCTATTGGGATTGGAAGGGTTCTTTTCTATCCTCGCTGACTCTCAGAAGGCCTCCTCCTTTTCACCTCTCCCCCTCGCTCGCCGCCGAATCCTGAGGGGGTGGGAAGTTGCAAACCACCACCGCCACGGGATCCCTGACGGCGCCGCCCTCGAGCCTGCGCCGCGACACCAGCGGTGACACCCAAGCGCCCGCGCGTTTCTGCCCTGGGCGGCTGTACAGGTCGAAGAGGACATGACCCTTTAATTCACGAGGAACCAAAAACTGCACAGACGTAAACTTCCGGACCTCCGCGCGGATGTCTTGGATTAGCGCTGGGCCCCGGGCGGCGCCTCCAGCGCCTCCCCTGGCGCGCTAGGGCGGGGGTCCAGCGCCGATCCAAGAGATCCGCGCGGAGATCCCGAAGGTTATGTCAATGCAGTTGTTCCTTCTTCGAAATTGTCCGCCGACGGAGACTCTAAACAGCTGCACCGACTCTTCCCAACGAACCCGAGGCGCTTCCGCAGAGGGCACCTCGACGACGTCGGCTCCGAAAAGGCGGCTGGACAGCTCGAAGAGGCCCTGCAGCGCAGAGGGCAGGGGGAAGTAGCTCCGCAGCGCCTCCGAGTCGAACTGAAACTTTGCTTTCCGCAGGCGCTCCGCGTAGAATCCGCGGTCCCAGTGGTTCACGCTGGTCGCGTTCGCGGTGTGCTTCGCAAACTCCAGCAGCTCGACGACGTCGCTCTGCGCGGGGCCCCTCGCCGTCGACTGCAGGCTGTCCATCAGCCTGTGGACCTCCGCGCGGGTCGCCATCTTCGAGGCGAAGGAGAGGTCCGCATAGCTGTCGTAACCGAGCAGCTGGGCCAGGCGGTGCCTCTTCTCCAGAATCTCGGCAATGGTCGGCGCATTGTCGTTCGCCCCTGAAGAGGCAAGGCGAGCTCGTGCCCAGAAGAACGTTTTGCGCACCTCCTGGTCCTCTGCGTACGTCATCACTGGGCCATAGGTCGGCCCATCGAGGCCGAACGTCCAAGGGCCCTTCTCGTCACTCGCGTGAACGGAACCACCCTCGCGGGCTCTCCCTGCGGCGGCAGACAACACCCGAGGGGGGATTCCACGGACCTGGTTGGCCTCCAGCAGAGTGATATTCCAAGCGGCTGTTGAGTCCAGGACGTGATTCGAGAAGTCCGTGGACAGCTTGCTGAGCCGTTGGCTGACCGAGTTGAACTCCTCGGCCTCGGCTCCTGAAAGGCTGACGCCGCTGAGTCTCCTGTCGCGCACTTCGCTCGACACTATCCTCTGGTGTGCCTCAGGCAGCTGCGCGAACGCTTGCGAAGACTGCAGGCGCACAAAAGCGTCGTACACAGGCTGGGACTGTGCGAGCTCCTGCCGGAAGGCGACGACGATGGGCTCCAGCTTGGCGCTCAAGGCCCGCAGCTCGGGCGTCTCCCTCACGCTGCTGAGGTGCTGGAGCAGCTCCCAGGGCCGCGTGGCCGAGTCGTACACGTCCGCCAGAGGCGTGGCCACCTCCTCGAACGTGACGTTGCCGCCCTCCTTCAGCTTGCGGCGCAGCGAGGCCTCCAGGCTCCTGTGCTGGGCCCGGCCCCTGGACAGCGCGGCGCTGACGGCCGACTCCCCGTGCCTCGCCACGTCCACGTCGGCGAACCGGGGGAGCCCGGCCTCGGGGGCTCGAAGATGGGGCCCCGAGGGCTGGGGGCCCAAGGACAGCATGGGAGCCAAGGGTGGCTTCACACGGCTTGCGACCCCTCCGACCATCGTTCCATCGATCCCCGTCCCCAGCGGCGTGGCCTGGGCCCCGCTGGCCGATCCACCCCCCTGGATGGGGATATGGGCGGTTCCCTTCGGGTCTCGAAGGGGATGAGGATGGGGATGGGGGTCGGTGAAACGAGACTGCTCCTCGTCCTGAGGACCCCATCCCTCAGGACCCCATCTTTGAGCCACCGACAGCCGAATCCAGCAGCGGATTGTCCGGCGGGCCGGCCGGCGGCGACAGCTGGTGGACCCTCAGCCGGGCGCCCAGGACACGGGGGCGCGGCGCAAGCTGGAGCAGCGACGCCACGCGCAGCCAGACGGCCGACTTCATTGGAGGGGCGGGCTCGGGCCAGGAGGCCTCCTGGGCAGCGCAGCGCGTGAGGAGGAAGCCGAACTCACTCTCCTCCTCCTCCTCCTCCTCCTCCTCCTCCTCCTCCTCCTCCTCCTCCTCCTCCTCCTCCTCCTCCTCCTCCGCCTCCGCCTCCGCCTCCGCCTCCGCCTCCGCCTCCGCCTCCGCCTCCGCCTCCTCCTCCTCCTCCTCCTCCTCCTCCTCCTCCTCCTCCTCCTCCTCCTCCTCCTCCTCCTCCTCCTCCTCCTCCTCCTCCTCCTCCTCCTCCTCCTCCCCCACACCTTCCACAAGAAACCCAACCCTGAGACCCCAGGACGTCCATTGATTCTTGGTGCGGAGGCGTCACGCTCTACATAGCGGAACCATCGAAACCCAAGAAACCCAGGGCACCCTGGAGGCACGCAGGGTGTGTCTTGGCATGGGCCCCCACCGTACGCAAGTATAGGCTAGCTTGAACTTGCGCAGAGCAGACGTGTGGCTCAGCAAAGCCACGACGCGCCAGGCCTGCCCTTGCCAGTGCGGTCTAAGTTCACACATGCAGCAAGGTTAGGTCGGGAATGTCCCCCTACAGGCGGATTTTTGACGAAAATTAAAGCAGATCTAAGACACATCAAACGTAGTAGAAATTATCCCAGTGCGACCCTACCTAGGAGTTGGAGCCCCTAGGAAAACAGCATTAGTAGTAACAGGAAAGCTAAGCTAAAGCTAAGCTAAAGCTAAGCAAAAGCTAAGCAAAAGCTAAGCTAAAGCTAAGCTGAAGCTAAGCTAAAGCTAAGCTACAGCTAAGCTGAAGCTAAGCTAAAGCTAAGATAAGGCTAAGCTAAAGCTAAGCTAAAGCTAAGCTAACACTAAGCTGAAGCTAAGCTAAAGCTAAGCTACAGCTAAGCTACATCTAAGCTAAAGCTAAGCTAAAGCTAAGCTAAAGCTAAGATAAGGCTAAGCTAACAATAAGCTAAAGCTAAGCTAACGATAAGCTGAAACTAAGCTAATTCTAAGCTAAAACTAAGTTAACGCTAAGCTAAAGCTAAAGCTAAGCTCAAGCTAAGCTAAAGCTAAGCTAAAGCTAAGCTAATGCTAAGCTACAGCTAAGCTAAAGCTAAGCTAAAGCTAAGCTAAAGCTAAGCTAAAGCTAGGCTAAAGCTAAGCTACAGTTAGGCTGAAGCTAAGCTAACGCTAATATGAAGCTAAGCTAAAGCTAAGTTAAAGCTAAGCTAAATAAAGCTAAAGCTAAGCTAAATCTAAGCTAAATCTAAACTAAAGCTAAGCTAAAGCTAAGCTAACACTAAGCCACCACTAAGCTAACACTAAGCTAGCACTAAGCTAAAGCTAAGCTAACACTAAGCTGAAGCTAAGCTAAAGCTAAGCTAAAGCTAAGCTAAAGCTAAGCTAACACTAAGCTAAAGCTAAGCTAAAGCTAAGCAACAGCTAAGCTAAAACTAAGCTAAAGCTAAGCTAAATCTAAAGCTAAAGCTAAAGCTAAGCTAACGTTAAAGCTAAGGCTAAAGCTCCCAGGGGACTGGGGGAACCGCGGGGCGGGGACTGGGGGAACCGCCCGGGGCGTGCAGCACTGCCCGGCCCCTTTAAGCAAAGAGAGTAAGAACCCTTCTAGGCAGAGCCTAGGTAGGGAAAAATCGTCCCCCGACTTTGTTTGACTATTTTTGCATATTCCTCCTGTAGCGGGACAGGCCCGACTTCATGAAAGGAAGGGGGCGGTGCCTCTTTGGAGACAGCGAGAAAGAGGGTGCGCGCTCGCGCGAGGAGGGGATGCGGCGATGGCGACGGCTGCTCCGCCATGGAAGAGCTGCGGCGCGGCGCCACCGTCGAGGCCCGTGAGCGCCGCGCGACGGGAGGGACGGAGAAAAGGCGGAACAAGGGGGGGGGGAGCGGAGACGGCAAAGTGCGCGCACGCGCGAGGAGGGGATGCGGCGATGAGGGCGGCTGCTTTGCCATGGAAGATCTGCGAGGCGCCGCCACCGTCGAGGCCTGTGAGCGCCGCGCGACAGGAGGGACGGAGGAAAGGCGGCACAAGGGGGGGGGCGGAGAGGGCCAGCAGGAAGAGGGAGGCGGCTGGGGCAAAGGGGGAACAGAGGAAAGAAAGGCTGCATGGGCATGAGCTTTCCACGATCCGCGCGGACCGCCGAAAGTTCCTGTTCGTGCAGTGTGTTCTCCCTCCGCTCCCCCTCGCCCCTGCCTGGCGATCCATGGGCAATGGGGGGTCGATGCGCTCCCCCCCGAGCCTGCCACCCCTGATCGCTGCCCCGTTGCCACTGAGTCCAGGGCGAGGTGGATGGGGAGACTCGAGACGGGGGGGGGGGAGGACCGCAGCGAGGAGCCGGGGGGGGGAAAGGGTAGCGAGGAGCGGAGAGGACCCGGGGTGGGGGGTGGGGGAGACTGGAGAAAGGGGGGGAGAAGACGGGGAGACTGGAGACCGGAGAAACGGGGGGGGGCGGGGACGGCGAGAGGACGGGGGGGGAGTCCCCCCCCCCCGCCCCCACGGATGGCGCCGCCCCCGCGCGCCGAGGGAACACCAGATGGCACGGCAGGCTCGCGTCGTGCCGCCTTAGGCGATGGCCCCTGACGCCGCGGGGATCGCTCGACCTCGAACGATCTGGAGGATACGCAAAATATCAAAAACAAAAAAAACATAAAAAACTGTTTAAAACACATCAAGAACCATTCAAAAACCAAAAACAAATCCACCAACATGTAGTACAAATCCCTGTACACCGATTCTGGCCAGGCCCGGCCGGAGCCCAGGATCGGTGCCTGCGCCTCCGTGGCCTGGCCGAGGAGGCAGGTGCACCGATCCTGGGCCCCAGGGCTGTGTTGCCCCCACCGCACTTGAGGACCGCATCCCAGAAATCATTTCGAGCACCCAGGGCCCGACGCGTGAAAGCCATCCAGTTTCGGCACGTGATCTGTGCTCGAAACTATTCTGGTGGCTCAGGCTAAAAAGTAGGTTGGAGCATCACAACCCCGGGGACGGGCTGGGCCGGGACCGGCGTGTGCGCCCTGCTCGCCCGACGATCGGCCGCTTGCGAAACGTCAGATCGGCCAACATCGACCCCCTCGGGGTCGCCGGCGGCGCTCCACGTGGAACGCCGCCTGCAGCGTTGTCGCCGCAGGTCGACACAACGCGCCAAGAGGGGGGTGCAAATCATGGCCGGCGGCATGTGCGCGGCCCAAGGGGGAGCCAGGGACGTGACGACATACGAAGAGGCGCCGTGAAATCTGGGGAGATATCATGGCCCACGCCATGATATCCACCCCCCCTAGTCATCACCCTCCTCTTTGCCGCCCCCGAGTTGAACACCGGCGGCGTGGTCGCCGTCTGTCCACACGACGCGAACCTGCAGTACCGGTGCCGCTGCCCCCCAGATGTCTCAGATGGGGAATGTCGGGTGAGCCTTCACTGAAAACCGATGTGAACATCCACGGCCCTATCGTAAGAGTGGTCAGATTCCCACCACCACTCTTCACCCTTTCGTCCAGATTGATTGCGTCCAGGTTTCGTCCAAACGTCGCCCTGACTGTCGACCGAATCCGACGAGATCCGGACGACTCCCCAAAATCGTGAGGAGTCCTGGGCCCCTCTGAGGCTCGCGCGTAGGACCACACAACAGGGGCACTCCGACCAAAACCCCAGGAGCATCCGGCCGTGGCGACGGGGGCCAACCGGGACGAGCAGCGGCATCCAGAGGGACAGAACGCGGCACAGACGTGGACGTTCGAAGGTCCGCGCGGACTGCGTGGATCGGCGCTGGCCTCCCGCCCTGGCGAGCTCTGCGCGCCAGGGACGGGGACCCACCGCCGATGGAAGAAGCCCGCGCGGACCTTCGAGTCGGGCGCCCGAGCTATCCGGGGCAACTCGGGCCCAGGGAAACTCGGGATCGGATTCCCGAAAAACGAACCCGCATCGGCCCTGACCCGAGTTACCCCTGATGATGGCGTTGGGCTCTGGGCGCCCGAGCTGTCCGGGGCAACTCGGGCCCGCGGCAGCTCGCGGTTCGGAGTCTCGAAAACGGACCCGAGTCAGCCCTGACCCGAGTTGCCCCTGATGACTAGGGGCTCTGATCGAGTGTCCGAGTGTTTTGAAGGGGCCCTGGGACACACAGATAAATACACACACACACACAAACAACAGGGTTTCCCAGATCTCCCCCCCCATGTTTTATGGGTTGTTGTCTTCCCCCCACTTCCTAGATCTTCCCATCTTTTCCCGGGAGTCGACGATTCATTGCATTGTGTCTCTGTGTGTGCGTGTGTGCTGATGTGCTCGTGTGCCTGTGTGCGCTTGTGCGTCCGTGTGTTGTGTGTTGTGTGTGAAGTGCTTTGTGTGTGGTGTGTGGTGCGTTGTGTGGTGTGGTGTGTGTGTGTGTGTGTTTCCCTCCCGATCGTTGTGCACCTCCTCTCCCGAGCAGCCGGGCCTCTGCGCGGGCCCCGCGGCCCGTGGCCGCCCGTCGCCGCCTGCGAGGCTCGCGGTTCGCATTGTTTTGCACTGCGCTGCCCTGCTCTGCGCTGCGCAGCACTGCTCTGCACTGCTTTTTGCACGCTGCTCCGCACGCCTTCGTGCTGCCTCGTGCTGCTCTGAGTTGCTCTGCGTTGCTCTGCGTTGCTCTGCGTTGCTCTGCGTTGCTCTGCATTGCTCTGCGCTGCTCTGCGTTGCGTTGCGCTGCTCCACATTGGGACTGCATCATGTGCCCTACACCACATGGCTCACCACATAGATTGCATCACATCGCGTGCATCATGTAGCTTGCACCACAGATATTGTATTACGTATAGCGCACCACATAGCTTCCAGCACATAACTATATGTACATTGCGCAAAACACCACATTCGTTACACCACATTGCTTGCACCACAACGATTGCACCATATAGACTGCACCACACAGATTGGGTCACATAGCGGGCACCACATAGGTTGCACCACATATATTGCACCACTTACCTTACACTGGTACACCACCTAGCTCGCACCACCTAGATCGCACAACATAGATTATTGCACCACCTAGCCGGCAACACGTAGCTTACACCACATCACGTGCACCAAATAGCTTACACCACGTAGCTCACATCACATGTATTGCACTGCGCATAATCAGAGCTATGGCTCGCACTACAAATATTGCACTGCATGGGTTGCACCATGTTGATTGCACCACATGTTTTACGCCACATGCATCGCACCACATGGATTGCACCACATGCATTGCACGACCTAGCTCACATCCCATAAACCCGCACCACCCAAACGGTACCACGTACACCACATAGCTGACACCACATATTTGAGTACGTCAGCTCCTCTCACATAGATTGAACCGCATACCTTACGCCACATAGCCCACACTACATAGATTGCACAGCATAGCATGCAGCTCGCACCACGTAGCTTCACATAGCTTGCACCACATAGCTTGCAACACGTATATTGCATCACCGAGTATGCTAGAACACAGTTTTTCGGGTCAACGCTGGCTAACAATTTATTCTCTGAGTATCGGCACCATGTCCCGCCTGTGGTGAGCGGCTTTCGTGGACCGCGGGGGAGGGGGCAGATCCAAGCGCACAGGCCAGTGATGGGGGAACCCCTGTGGGCCCCCTCCAAAGGTCACTCCAGCGAAAGGTCACTCCTTGAGACCCGACCTCACGAAAAATCGTACCATCGTTCAAAAGACTCGACCAGAGCCCTGTATCCCAACTTTCTGCGGCATGTTCCGAACCGGGATCGATCTGTGACTTCTCCGGGGACCAAACCAAAACAACATCGCTAGTTCCGAATGAAATTACGACGTCAGACCCCCCCCCTTTATCCGTAGCGCTCAAAAATTGATTAATGAATTCCCGAGGGGAGGAAATCGCCGAGCGACATCGCGAGCACCACGACAAATTAACTAATCGAATAATGCTGCCGGGGGGGTCCATGGGGGAGGTACCATAGGGATGATCCGACGGGGGACTCCAATGGAGGACTCCTATGGGAGAGCCCCATGGTACAGTCCCACTGGGATCCGATCATACTGGGATCGTCTCTGAACCCTATCAAACTCCGATTGGAATCCGTTTGGGACCTTACTGGGTTTATGATGCAACCCTCTTGGGCTCTGGTTAGAATTCGTTTGGGATCGTGTTGGAACTATATAAAGATGCTGGTGGGATGCCACACTCTGGGGCGGGACATGACCTCCAGGGGCGACACGCGATCTAGTTCCGCCGAAAGGAGGGGGGCAAGAAGGCCTGACGGGGGGAGGGGGCGACCGACTTTACTCCTCCGCTGCCCGCTCACAGCGACGACAGGCTTTCCTCAACTGACCTAGAGGCCTCCAAAATGGGGTCCTGTCCGAGTAGACGAGGGCGGCTGATCGCGCCGCATCGACGATGCAACGATCATGCATCGGCGACGTCGGCGACGAGAAACTCTGGCTCAATATCGAGCCGCATCGCCGATGCATCGGCGATGCGGAGCGATCCTCCGAACCCCTCTACTCGGACCCCATTCGTGAGGCCTAGACTACAGACAAGTCAAGAGGATCGCCACTGCTTGACTCTGACCGAAGCTGTAATTTCGCCGAAAAGAGGGATAACAGCCTCCCGCGGTTGGATGCGTCCGACTTTGCTCCCCCCCTGAATTCCCACCAAACCACCCCAACCCAATCCAAAGACGCCGTTGGCCTGTCCGGAACATCGAGAACAAGCACACACAATGGAACCCGCTCACACCCCTACCCGAAATTCGGGGCGGTCTGGGACATTCGGGTCGGGCTGCTGTTTCGGGGTGGTCTGGTAAGCAGTGACCCGAGGAAGCCGGGATGAGGATCCATCTGGACGAGGAGGATCCGAAAAGATCTGCAAGGAGGGCGGGCCTAAAGGATGCACCGGGCGCCGCGGCAGCCCCAGAGCGTCCCAGCGCGCTCTGCGAGCGCCCCAGAGCGCTCTCTTTGGCATGGTGGAGGCGGGTCCCCCGACGGAGAGGGGCCCCGAGCGGGGCCGCCGCCCGGTGGTGGTGAGCCCCGAGGCCACGGGCCAGCCGAGGCGGTGGGCGGGAGAGGCCCACGACCCCGGCCACGCCCGAGGCGTGCCTGCCCCGGTGCGGGGGGGGCGCTCGGGCCCTGGGAAGGGGGGGAAAAGGCGGGTCCGGTCGGAGGCGGGTCCTGGCCCCGGGGGGCCTTCCCCCCCAGGACGAGGTCTGCATCCTGAGCAGCCGTGTCCCGACGGCCCGAGGGCGGCGAAAAGCAGGGCCCGTTTCCCTCAGGACCCGCATCCCCCAGGGCGAGCGCTGCCAGCGATCGTTGCCATCTGTCCTCATATCCCAGGCCTGCATGGGTGGACCGGGAAGCGGCCCCACCCCACCTGCAGCCCCACAGGGCTTGGCGCACACCAGGAAGCCTGCCGTAGGTTTTGGCGTGGCAGACGCGACGGCCCCCCGGTGGGCCGTAGCGCAACATGGAGGGCCGTAGTAGGTGGGGTGGTGTCGTTTGTGTTTTGCTCGAATGGGGCAATCCTCAGACTAGAGGCCTCCTAGATGGGGTCGGAGGAGATGGGGTCGGAGGATCGCGCCGCATCCCCGATGCATGGGCGATGCATCGCCGACGCATTGGCGATGCACTGGCGATGCACCTGCGACGTCGGCGGTGCATCGGCGCCGCCGGCGTGGAGGAAATCGGCTCCGCATCGAGCCGCATCGCCGATGCATCGGCGATGCGGCGGGATCCTCCGACCCCCTCTACTCGGACCACATTCGCGAGGCCTAGACTACAGACAAGTCAAGACGATTCGCCACTGCTTGGCTCTGACCGCCGATCTAGTTTCGCCGAAGGGGGGGGGGGGATAGTCGCCTCCTGCGGTTGGGTGCGTCCGACTTTCCTCCTCCTCCTCTGACTACTCGGACCCCATCTGGGATCAGGCCAGGCGAAAGGGGGGGATAGCAAAGGGGGGGGGGGAGAATCAGCTCACGTAGCTGACTTTTCCGGCGCCTCCCGGCGCGCGAGACGGAGGCGGCCATGTACCGAGCAATGGGCCCCTCGGTGAGGCTGAGACCAGCTGCATGCCGCAGATTTCGTAACCCCCCCTCTCCCTATCCCCCCCCTTCGCCTGGCCCGATAAGAGGCCTCGACTGACGGCTGCCCGCTCACAGCAGGTCCCCGTCGTCGCCGCCCGCCGCGTGGAGCTGCTGCGCGGCGCCGCCCGGCGCGCGCAGCTTCGGCACCGGCTCGAGCGCCGCGCGCGCGCCGCCGGGGGCTGGGGCGGCGTCGCGCTCTGGCCTGCGGCGCTCGGGCCGCGTCTCCTCGGCAGGGCCAGGGAGGAGGAGGAAACGGAGGAGGAGGAGGGGGATGAAGACTGGGGAGGGAAGGAGGAGGAGGAGGAGGAGGAGAAAGAGGAGGAGGAGGAGCAGGAGGAGCAGGAGGAGGGAGAGGAGGAGGAGGAGGCGGAGAAAGAGGAGGAGGAGGAGCAGGAGGAGCAGGAGGAGGAGGAGGAGGAGGCGGAGGAGAAGAGGAGGAGGAGGAGGAGGAGGAGGAGGAAGAAGACTAGGGGGGCAGGAGGAGGAGGAGGAGGAGCAGGAGGAGGAGAGAGGAGAAGAGGAGAAGAGGAGGAGGAGGAGGAAGGAGGAGGAGGAGGAGGGGGGAGGAAGAGCAGGAATAGGAGGAGGAGAAGGAGGAGAGCGAGGAGGAGCCCTCCAAGAGGTGCCTTTCGCCGAGCCTCCAAGGGGGTCGAGGCTCGCGCCCTCGACGAGGCCTCTCGTCGCCATGGCGGCATCCGCCTCGACTTTCTGGCCAGAGCGAACGCCAGGGTCCGCGGCGATCTTCCAGATCGACAGCATCAAGGCTCGGAGGCTCAGGAAGATGGAGGATGAGGAGGATGAGGAGGATGAGAAGGAGGAGAATGAGGAGAAGAGGAGGAGGAGGAGGAGGAGGAGGAGGAGGAGAAGAAGAGGAGGCGGAGGAGGGAGGAGGAGGAGGAGGAGGAGGAGGAGAAGGAGGAGGAGGAGGAGGAGGAGGGTCTGGGCTCGGGCATGCTCGCGTCGTGAGAAAGAACAGCAACAAAAAGCGAGACGGGGAATGTCTGTCGGGCTCGAGCTCCGGGGGGCCCTCGCCGGGCGCCAGATCGGGTGCGGGACGGGGTCCTGAGGAGATGGGTCGGGACCTCCTGGAGCCCGCACCGTGAGAGACAAGGCATCGGGAGTCCGGGCTGCTAGGTGGGTGGATCGACTGGAGAGGGAGACGGGGAGGGGGTCGGCGTGGGGGGGAGCGGGATGGGCGAGGCGGGAGGGGGTCGGGGGGCAGCGGGTTGGGCGAGAGGCCCGGGGCGAGGGGGGGAGGGGCGGGGCAGGCGGGAGGGGAGGTGGAGGGGGAAGAGGGAGGGAAGCTGCGCGAACGGCGCCCAGGCACCGTGCCGTGTCTGGACTCCGCTCAGACCCTGCTCCAAGGCGGTACGGTGCACAGTTTGTTCGGCGCTGGGGGCCGGAAGACGATGCACCGTACCACTCCTGGGTCGAGAGTCGACGGCGCCACGACAGGCGCGGTACGGTGCACACAAGTCGTCCGCGGAGAAGGGGAAAGAATGAGAGGGAACAAAAGGTGGAGCGCATTGGATAATAGGGAGCCAGGAGGAAGGAGCGGTGAAAGAAAGGCCAGCAAACATGTACGGGCAATAAGATGGAGGTAGGCGGCCGCTGCCACAACTGGAAATGTTGAAGCAACATGGGTGCCGCTCTGTACAAAGTTGTACAGTGCAGAGGGCGGCGAGACGACAGGAATGGGGGAGGCGGCGGCAGGAGGAGCTATAGAGACGGGAGACGATAATAGATCCTACACAACAGCGGCATGCATGTCATCCGAGCGGAATCGTACTTTTGGGACGTTGTCGTGATGATACAGTGAGAGCTCGACCACAAAGATCCTTCCACAAGAAACCCAACCCTGAGATCCCAGGATGCCCATCGAGTGCTGGTGTGGGAACGTCACGCTTCCCGTTGCAAAACCATCGACGCCCAAGACACCCAGAGCACCCCTGGAGGCGAGCGGGGTGCTTCGTGGCGTGGGTTTCCGCTGCAACCTCGCTCTTCTGCCGCGGTGGCGGTTGCCCGGCGCCTCGATTCGAGGATGCCGCGGCGAGACTGCACCGGGCGGAAGAGAGAGAGAGTGAAAGAGGCAGGCGGAGGCGAGGCGGGGCGAGCACCGATGCAGCTCCACGCGTGGAGCCCGAGCGGGAAACTCCACAGAAAGCCAGCTCCCGTATGGGGCAGAGCACGCTCGACTGGTCCCCGGACCCGCACCGCTCGTTAGGGTGACACCGAAGCATGAGCTCAGAGAACCAACTGCCGCGGGTGGGCCTGGAAAGCAGTGCGACTGGAATCCCACTGGGTCTCATCGGGATCTTACTGCCTTACTGGGCTCACAGTGGGATCCCGCTGGGACGAGATTAGAATCCTACTGGATTCCGATTGGAATCAGATTGGGATCCAATTCGAATAATATTGGAGTACTCCAAGGACAGACGGCCCACGAGGCTCCCAAGACGGCCCCGGAGCGGCCCAAGAGCGCCCCCCAGACGGCCCAAGTGCTGCCCAAGGCGGACCAAGAGGCCCCAAGACGGGCCCAAGAGGGGCTCAAGAAGGGAACCGAGAACTGAAAAATCGAGCCCTCCGCCCCAGAAGGCGCCCAGGACCCCGAAAGAGGCCCCAAGAGACTCTCCAAGACACCCCCAAGACGCCCCAATAAGCTCCCGTGAGGCCCCAAGAGGACCAACAACGTCAGGCCCCAGGCCCCAAGAGGACCAACAAATACCGCCAAGAGCCCGCCGAAAGCCCCCCAAGAGACCGTCACGAGAGCTCAGGAGGCCCCCTGGAGGCCTCCCGAGTTCTTCAAGAGGCCTAAAAAGAGGCGCCAAGAGGCTCCAAACGGCCCCACCGAGGCTCCAAGAGGCCACGAACGCGCAAGCAAACGCCTGCGATGGCACAATACGGGCCGGCAGAATGAGCGAAGCGATTAATAATATTGGAGTGCTCCAAGGACGAATGTGAAAAGTGGCGGGACGTACCAGGGCACGTGTCTGGAGAGATGTTAGATGTTGGAGAGTGTCGGCGCTGACTTCAGCAACACTTGCAGCGGAGGCAAGGGGGGGAACGATAGGGTGGGACCTGCACGGCGGGGGCAACACCGACCTGGAAACGGCGACACATCGCCAACAGACTGGCCAGTGGCCTCCGACAGTTCCTGGGAGGGGCATGGCAATCGGGCCGCTGTGTGCACCTCCCCCTGAACGCGTCCCCCCCTGACGTTGCCCCTGCCCTCCGTTCCTTGGCTTCCGGGCTCTGACTCGGCTCTCCCGCGGCCGTTCGGACCGATCCGGGCACCCCCAGAGCACTCTCGGCGAGGCGCAGCTGCTGAAGAGCATCCCGAGGCTGGAACGCCCAAGAGGACCGGCGAAGACCATCCGAAAAAAATGCGAACCTCGAGCCCATCCCCTCCCCCGAGTCCCTCCGTGACCTTGCCTACGACGAATCCTCCCTGGCAAGGGGCCAGCCAAGGGCAGAAGCCCGGCGGAGTGGCGGCGCTCCTCGGCGGTGGCGCCATACACGTGCGGGGGGGGAGAGTCGTAGTCCGCCTCGTCGAGGAAGTCGTTCAGGGAGGCGCCGTCCCCGGCGAGGTCCACGTCGAACTCGTCCTTGCCCACGGGGCGGTACGAGTTGCCGCCGAAGGAGCGGCTCTTGGAGGAGAACCTGGCCAGGCAACCGCCGAGCATGGCCACCGCGGACAGGAGCGAGAGCGGCGCCCAGGAGGACTCCTTCGCGGTGAACTCGCCGAAGCCAGAGCGGCTCTCGGAGAGCTTGCCAGCGCCGACGTAGAGGACGCCAAGCAGCACAACCCCAGCAAGCGCATACTTCGCGTGCCCGAGGGGAGCGCTCCCTCCCGGGCACGGCACCTCAGCCTTGTCTGGGCTCCAACCGCCCTGGCACTTGTCCCCCGCTACCTTGCGGTAGGCTGACGCCTGGTAGCTGCCGGTACACACCTCCGGCAACAGCCGGGCAGGCATCATGTCGGGCCCGCCGTACACGCACTCGGTGGAGCCCACGCTCCGCACGAAGCCCATGTCGCAGGCATAATCCTCCTGCGTGCAGCTGCAGGCCTTCTGCTCCACTGGCCGCTCGAACTCCATGCCGTTGAAGCATGCGGATGTCTGTTTTCGCCTTTGGCAACAGAGGGACGGCACATTGTATCATCAACGTCTACTAGCCTGAAAGCTTTAGCATGACAAACAAAGACGTATCAGCGCTACTGGCTTAAAACGAATAAGCCTCAAGAACAGAAAACAATGCAGAAACACTGAAATAAAGTCGGGCCTCGTGTAAGAGGTCTGCGCGCCCAGGAGGCACTTGTCCGACCTGGACCCATCGGATGGGCTCCACGTCTCGTAGTCCGACGACACGGAGTCCGCAGCCCAAGCCTGGGGTGCCGCAAGCAGGCTCCACCCCCTCGCGCTGCCGCGCACTCCTCAACGACCCCAGGAAGGCACACCGAGGCAGGGGCGGGAGCGAGAGGACGCCACCACGCCAGATTGGTTGGCCGAGAGAGGCTCCAGGCAGACAGCTCTGCCTGTGCAGGGGGGGCACACAGCCCGGGGAGGGGGCACAGACTCAGCGGATGAGAGGAGAGGAACAGAGGCCTCCTAGACGGGGGCGGGGCAGCTGGGGTCGGAGGATCGCGCCGCATCGCCGATACACCAGCGATCCATCGGCGATGCATCGGCGATGCACCGGCGATGCATCGTCGACGTCGGCGCTGCATCGGCGACGTCGACGTGAAGTAAGTCGGGCTGCGCATCGAGAAGCATCGGCGATACATCGGTGATGCGACGCGATCCTCCGACCCCATCTACTCCGACCCAATCGGGGAGGCCTAGCAGGAAGGAGGCCCGTGACGGCTGGTGCTGGAGCGCTCGCAGACGATTCACGCGCCCAACCATCTACCTGAATGCGGCGCCCCAGCCCGTGAGGCCAGTCTCGTCCTTCTCGAAACCCACGAAAGTACATGTACGCGTACGGGAGGAGTAGGAGGAGGAGGAGGAGGAGGAGGAGGAGGAGGATAAGAAGAGGGGGGGAAGGGAGGAGGAGGAGGAGGAGGAGGAGGAGGAGGAGGAGGAGGAGGAGGAGGAGGTGGAGGAGGAGGGAGGAGGAGGAGGAGGAGGAGGAGGAGGAGGAGGAGGAGGAGGAGGAGTAAGAGGAGGAGGAGGAGGAGGAGGAGGAGGAGGAGGAGGTCCTCTCCTGTCGTGTCGTGACGACTTCGGCGTTGGCTTCTGGCACCGCGTGGATCTGTTCAGCCTCGAGCGGTCGCGGCCTCCCGATGGCGAAGACTGTTCCACATGCAGTAGGACATCGATCACAGGAAACCTCGATCAAGAAATCCAACCCTTCGACCCCAGGACGAGCGTTGATCTTGGTGTGGGAACGTCACGCGTTCCATAGCGAGACCATCGAAACCCAAGAAACCCAGGGCACCCTGGAGGCAATCAGGGTGTTTCTTGGCATCGGTTTCCTCTGTAAGCCGACTCTGGGCCACCGGCGAGGTTCAACCTTGAACGCCTGGGGCGGGGTAGCCACCGCGTTGACACGACGCGAACCTGTGGCACGCGTTCGCCCCTGAGGTGTCAGCAAAGCCCTACATTCAGGGACCCTGGCCGCCCCGGTGCAGGCGGGGAAACCGAGGGCGTCGAATGCCATGTATAGAAGAAGAAAAAACACTGTAAACATACACTTTTGGCGCTCCGCGCGGATTTCTCGGACTCCCTCCCTGGCGCGCGGGGCGCGCCAAGGTCGCGCCGGAGGCGCCGCCAGGGGGGCCCAGGCGCGAATCCAAGAAATCCGCGCAGAGCGCCAAAAGTTTATGCTTGTGGCGTGTTATCTTCTTCGAATGTAGTAGAGCACGCCCGCCCCCTCCTCCCGCGTGCCGAACATGACGAAAGTCGTCGCGGTGAGGTTGGGCTCCGTGACTTACCCCCGCGAGAAATGGATCCGCTTCCGTGCCTTCCGCGCCCCTGGGGAGGGCGCCTTCGGCGGGTTCGCGCCGCGTGACGACTTCGGGGCTGGTACTGCACGGTGTTCCCCCGGGGCCGTAGGCGACCCGAGGAGGAGGAGGAGGAGGAGAAGGAGGAGGAGGAGGAGGAGGAGGTGGAGGAGGAGTGGGAGGGGGAGGAGTGGGAGGGGGAGGAGGAGGAGGAGGAGGAGGAGGAGGAGGAGGAGGAGGAGGAGGAGGAGCAGCAGGAGGAGGAGGAGAAGTTGCCTAATCCGAAAGCCCTTATAACGGCGACGAAGCGACGATCGAAAGCAGTGCCCCGGCACTGCTTTGAACGCGTTCAAAGCAGTGCCCCGGCACTGCTTTGAACGTATGATATGATGATATGATGATGATTATGATTGATGATGATGATGATTTTTCCAGCGTACACTGTCCGCAACTGCGGCAATCAACATCATGCTCCACTTGCCCGCAACTGCGGCCATCACCAACGCTGCCCCTCGAAGCTCCGCGGAGGGCGCTCGGCAGGTCGCCCGCTCGAGCCCCACTCGACTTCACGCTGAGGAGGCGAGCCCTCAGGGGCATTGTCCGCAACTGCGGCATGATCAGAGGGCCACCACTGCGCGCCATCAGCGCCCCATTCGCTCGAGCTCCAGTCCCACCAGGACCAGCCCTGCCATCTCGTGGCGGGACTGCGCGCCTCCCATGCGCCGCTGCCGCTGGCGTCCCAGGACCCAGCCGCCACTGCGGCACAAGAAGGGGTCGCATCGTCGCCGTTGGCAGCTTGCGGCGGTGGCGTGTTCCCAGCTCGCTCAGCCCCAGCGTCTCTCCCCGCAACTGCGGTTCCCATCTGGGGTCGGACGCCCTTCCCCGCAACTGCGGTGTCCGCGTAGCTGCCCTTCTTGCCGCCCTTCTTGCCGCCCTTCCTGCCGCCCTTCCTGCGTTCCAACCTCGCGGCGAGTCTTTCAGGTGACCTGCGGCACGTATTGCGCGTGAAAGCCACCAGAGGGAAGTGCGCTCCGTGCCTCGCCCTGCCGAAGGCGCCATGCCATATCTTGTCGTCGAGGTTGCCCTGCTTCACTCTGAAGGGATGGCGCACCCAATCGTCGCGTTCCCTGCGCGCCATCCTTTGCTCGAACTCCGCAACTGCGGTCAAGGATTCGCCAGATGGCGTCAGGAAGGCGCGCATCTTGTTTTCAACGGGCTCAGCCTTGGGCACGTAAGTCTGAAGCATCTTCCCAGGGCCATTCGTGTAGTCGAAGACAGGGAAAGACGGATCATGCTGGGTCGTCAAGAATCCGCCCTCACGGTCGTGCAGAACACTCAGGCCATGGTGAAGCTTGTACTGCCCAGGACAGTTTATGAACAAAATCGCCATGCTGTCTGCCCTGGGCTGGCCGCCTGCTGTCTTCCAGGGGGTCCACGCGGCGACGTCCACAGTCAGGCCGCAATTGCGGCACCAGGACACAAGCTGGAACATGCACATGTTGAAGTCCCCCATGCAGACCTTCACGTCCCATTCCCTGACGTAGGCGACGAACCAGTTGTAGAACTCATGGAGCTTCGTGACGCCCCAGTCTTGGTTGGCCAAGCTGTGGTGGACGTGCACCGCCATGACGTTGAAGGAGCCCCCCAAATGGGTCACGGCCTGGTCCAGGTGGACGCGCACCACCATCGCCCTGGAGTACTTGTTGTGCAGCTTTGGCGCAGGAGCCTCCGCAACTGCGGACGGTTTCTTCTTCTTCTTCTTCGTTTTGGACTTCTCCTGCTTGTGGAAGAGTCTCGCAAAGTCTACGTGTTCAATGTGGCCGCCACTGCGGTCCCTCATGCCAACAAGGAGGGTCCCTGATGGCTCGCCGCCCTTAACGCACAGGTAGTTGTATTGAGTCCGACTCCGAAACCTATCGTCCGCAACTGCGGCTGCACTGTCCCTCGCGTCGTGCTCCCCACTGAGTACCGCGCAGGTCTCGTCGTCGCACTCGCAGAGGGCGATGATCTGGGCAGGGTTCGCGCGGAGCTGCGCCCACTCGTCCGCGCGTTGCGTGGGTCTAGCTGCAGTCCCTCCGAAGTTGGCCACGTAGAAGCCGACCCGTCCCGCTTCGAACTCCGTTTTCTCCTCCCATGCGTCGACAAGAGCTCTTTGTTTTTCCGACAGATTGCTTGTCTCGATGATGGGCACCCGTTTCCAGGTTCTCCGCGACGACAACACTCTCGGCATGTAGGAGTCATGTGCTGCCGCAACTGCGGCTCCCGCACCTCCCCGGGACTCAGCCTCGTCAGCGGAGGCAGCCGAGGACGCGACGGTGCTGTCGCCATCTTGCGTCCGCTGGTCGTCGTCATCATCCGCAACTGCGGCTTCCTCGTCTTTGCCTCCCTCCTCCTCCTCAGCGTTGTGGATGAACACCGTTCTGGCGAATCGAGGTCCACGGTCCATACTCCCTGAGGATGCGCTCGGGCGCGCGGGCGGCCACATGCTTGCGTCTTCGCGTGCGCCACCTCGAGCCACGGTGGCTACGGAAATGGATCGTGAATGGGCATGGGTCGGATGGAGGGAGGAGACAAAGAGGATTCGAGGAGTGGCAGAAGGAGGGCGAGGACTCAAAGGAACCGAAAGAACAACAAATGGACTGGCGGAGAAGCAGAAGGAGGGCGACGATTGCAAGGGACTGTGAAAGGATTATTTTCACAGCAGCAGGAAGACCGCAACTGCGGTTTTGCCTCATCTCCTGCCCGCGCGGGAGCCGCTTGGAAAAACAACTTCCCTCTGGACTTCCTGTGGGTCCGCAACTGCGGCCTGCATCACGCTAGGGCTGGGATTACCAGCGCCATTTGCCCTCCCAGGGTTCTCACTGTTTCCGAATGCACGAACTGCGACAGCGCCGAACGGTTCCCAGACGCCGCGTCGTTCGCGACTTTTTGCAGCCACCCAGCAAACGTGAGCGGCCATTGCTCCTTGTGCTGCTTGCACATCTCCTCGTCCCAATGCGTCTTGAACCATGCCCACTCCCCCCTCTGCTCGTCTGAGAGGACGCCTTTTCCGCGAGCCAGGCGATCCAGAGCTGCCATCCTGTTTTTCTTGATCTTGAACTCCTCGGGATTCCACTGCGCTAGGGCGTGTTTGTTAGCCAAAGCCGTTTCCACCGCAACTGCGGCCTCCTTCTTTGCCCTCAAGGCGGCCTCGGCCTCTCGAATCTGCTTCTTGAGATCGTGCAACGCCTTCGTCCTGTCGTTCGCTTCCAGAGCCAGGCGCCGCTTTTTCGCCACCACTGCGGCTTCGTGGTCTCGCTGGGCAGTCAACGCTCGTAGGACCTCGTTGTCCTCCCGCGCCAGCTCTCTCAACCGCTTCTTTTGTTTGTGTCGTTGCTGTCGGCAATCCTGCGCTAGTTTCTCCATGCCCACTTGGCGCAGCATATCTTCCGCCTCGCGGAGCGTTTCTGCCAAGGACGTCGCCACTGCCACCTGCTCGGCCGCCTCTGCGTCGACCACGCAGTCCATGGATACCGAGGATCCTTGAGGCCCAGGTGCCGCAACTGCGGCATCGCACTGTTCCGCAAGAGCCTCGGCCCACGAGGCCTCCTCTTGCTCTTCGTCCTCCTCGTGCTCCTCGTGCACCTCCTCCTCCTCCTCCTCCCCGCCCTCCTCATCGCCCTCCTCGTGGCCTGGCTCCTGGCCTAGCGCTTCGTCGCCGAGCTTCTCCAACACGGAATCTGTGGCGTCGTGTTTCTCGTATTCGTGTATGAGACGCAGCACGTCATTGTAGGACCATTTCAAACGTTTCTGCTCGCATTCTTCCCTCACCTCCGCGACTGCGGTGTCCACTTTTGCTCGCAGCCCCCCTGCTTCCCAGAGTTCCGCCGCCTCTCGGCAAATCTCGAGATCTCCTGACTTGTCGAAGGGCGCTCGAATTCCCACTTTCAGGAAACCTTTCGCGGCGTCCAAGTGCAACTGCACATCCTCCAACACTGACAGCATCAAGTCGGCGCAATCGGAACGCCGAAACTGCGGCACGTGCTTCCCCAACGCCATTTGCTGCACCAGCGCTTTGGTCTCGAGGGCAATGTACCGGCGCTTCACGTGCTGGTTCAAGTCCGTGTCCACGGGCTGCGCAACTGCGGTCGTCCCCCCGCCGTGAATGATCAGCACGTAGCCGCGCTGCCAGGCGAGTCTCCGCACAGCGTCTGCTTTGCGCGGGGAATGGTCGTCGGCCATGAGGATGCGCCACTTTCCCCGCAACTGCGGGTCGTCGGGCCAGGCCCGCAAGTGCCGCTGCAAGAATGATACAACGTCGTCTGCGCGGTAGGACCCCTTCTCGGACGTCGCCGTGCTCACCCAAGACGGATAGCCGCGACTGCGGGCATGTGCGGCCAAGCCCTCAGCGATGACAGATCCCCCCTTGAACATTAGCTCCGCCGGCGGTGGTCCGCAACTGCGGATGTCCTCCGCGTCGCTCGACACCGTCAGGTTCGCTGTCCACCGAGCCCTGCTGTCGTCATGCGCCTCGACAAGCGGGACAATGCCACCCTTCACAGCCAAGGTCGGCTTCGAGGCCGACGACGACTCGTTGTGGTGAAAGGGCGACTGGTCCCAGTTCAGGATGTGCGGGTCGTACCCCAGAAGCTCCTCTGCAGCTGCGCGGACCCTGGCCACGTTCAAGATCATAGTCTCAAAACGAGATTGGAGCAACCATTTTGGCACCTTGTACTTGCGGTTCGGCTTCTTCATGCTCAGGCCGTAGGAGCGCCGCCACTTCACCCACCACCGAGGCCGCAACTGCGGCACCATCGGTTTGCCTCCCCGCTTCATTGTCTCCACGCAGTAGTCCGCGACGAGTTGCTTCGCCTTCGTAACCAGCAGGGATTGGGAGAACCTGGCCAACATCTTGGGCCTCTCCTCCGCAACTGCGGTTCGCTTGGCCACCGCCTTCCAGTCCACGGAGTACCTCATGTGGGACCACCACTCGTACAGAGCGGCTTC